GGGCTCCAGAGCTGGAGCCCCATGCGCCCCATGCGCCCCATGCGCCGTGGCTAGAACCCGCCCTGGAACTTGCGGCCTCCAACGCGGGAGCGCGAGCCCCGGCCCCAAATGCTGGAAAACAATTTGACTTTTTTCCCCCACCAGCATTTGATTTTGAAAATTTCCAAACATACAGCCAAGTTTAAATAATTTTGCAGTGCACACCACCTACGCAAACATGAATTCTACCATTGCCCTTCTGCTGTGCCTCCCACCTCTCCGGCTCAGCGTTCCTCCATGGTTCCGACTCATGTTGGATGCATTTCATGCTTGCAGACATCAGTCCGCTGCCCCATGAATAATTTGGCGTGCATACCTTTAGCATACGATTCACAAAGAGTTCGTGAATTTTGTTTACATTTTTTCTTTTGAAGTAAAATTTACAATGACTTTCATAAATCTTCGATATACATTTGCTGAGCTTTAATGAATGCACACATCAGTGCACCAGGAGCCTCTATGAAGATTGAGAGCATTCCATTCCCCCTGTGGGGGGCAGAATAACACCCCCCAAAAATGTCCATGTCCTAATCTCTAGAATCTGTACGTCTGTTACCTCCCATGGCAAAAGGCACCTTGCAGATGGGATTAAGTTGAGGACCCTCAATGAGGGTGACCCTGGATTCCCCAGAGGGTCCAATGATCTGACAAGTGTCCTTATAAGAGTGGGCAGGAGGGTCAGAGTTGGAGGAGACAGGGCAATAGAAGCAGAGGTCAGAATGAGACAACCACAGAGGCAGCCGGAGAAGGGCAGGAAATGGATTCTCCCAGGGAGCCTCCAGAAGGAGCCAGCCCTGTCCACCTGCTGGAGGGGGCGTTGAGAGGTTGTGGTGCTGGTCAACCTGTGAGCTGGACCCGGGCACTTGGAGGCTCCATCCCCCTCCCCTGTGCTGGGAAGGTGTGGTTCCCCTGGCCTTCCCTGCATTAGAAGCTGCCCAAGGACACAGCCTTGAGACAGTGAGGCGGTGTTGAGACCGACCATCTGGATGGTACTCAGTTCAGGCCTCTATATAAGCTTTAAGATTGGGGCAGGCGGGTGCAGTGTGCTAGACAAGCCTTGGAAGGATGTTCCCTTGCTCATAAACCCATCTACCCATCTGGAATGGCCTGTCCCTTCCTTCAGTTTCTCCTTGCCCAGCGTGTACAGGGGCCCATTTGCAAACCAACACTGCACCTTGATATAGCCCCATGAGACCACGTCAGCCCTCTGACCTCCAGAATTGTCAGAGAGTAAATGTGCTGGTGATAGTTTGTTACAGCATCCTTGGGAATCTCATACACACTCATTGGCCAGGACTGGTCACATGCCCAATCCCTGAACCAAACAGCAGGCCAGTCATTCACACCCACCTCCATAGCTCCTGTGATCTTAGATCTTAATTTCCAACCCACAGGGATTGTAGAGACTGTTGATATTACTACTAGGGTCTGTCCTTGCATTTTATGCTGACAGATAAAATGAATATGAGATTACACAAGTTATAATCAGGATCTTCAGAAACTTACATGGTTCACCAAATGATAAAAGAAAAAGGTAAAATTATATTTTGGATGAGGGGCTAAAAATCTAGTTAGGCGTCTATTGAGGAGGGTCTGCAAATGTTTTCTTTTTTTTTTAAGATTTTATTTATTTATTTGAGAGAGAGAATGAGATAGAGAGAGAGCGTGAGAGGAGGGAGGGTCAGAGGGAGAAGCAGACTCCCTGCCGAGCAGGGAGCCCGATGCGGGACTCGATCC